TAAATTCTCACATTTTCAATAATTCCTGAAGTCTCGGCTGCGGCTTGGTCAAAGTCTTCTAATAAATTTTCACTATTTAAACTAGTCTCATCTGGGGGGATTTCGATAGACTGGATTTCTGGAGCATAAGTCATCGTATCGTCTACTTCAGCTACTGGTTCAATACGGTCAAATGCCTAGAATATGTAAAATTGGAGCTGCTTTAGAAAATCTTTTGTATAATGCCACATGAATCTTGACTGGACACTTACATCTTTTTTGAGGAGTCAATAATAATTTGCTAAAGACAATTAAAGCAATCCCTTTTAGGAACGATAAATACATTGTCCGAAGCGATGCTGTACTAATTTATATAATTACAAGTGTTCAACTTGAATAATAGAGCAAACAAAAAATAGTCTACTAAAAATCTTCTTTTCGTGCGGTATTTACTCTCTGACTATAAGAAGTGTATCATCTATATGATGAGGTTAGTGTGGTCTCAGATCTTTGTGGTGCTTGTGTGGTTAGTGATTCCCGTGCAGTGTGGTAAGAACGAACTGGAAGCGTCCTTGCGCATTACAAAATATTGCTTCGTTCACTTCTGCCATCATTTAAGTCTTTATATACGTCGATTTTTAAAATCAACAGACCTCGTTGGTTTTGACCATCTGACTGGTAGCCTCTGCAGAATGCTCTGCAATGCCTCGAGCTTGATCGCTTTTTCCAACACTGGCCAGCATTTCCTCTTCTACCACAAAGCCTCCTACAGAATCTGGTGGTTGTTGCGAACTGACGTACTCCATAGCGTCATGAACATAAATCTCAGCTTCAACAATACGTTTCATTTCATCTGATTCGCTTATCCTTTTCGCAGTAAACTGTTCGTCTTTTCGTAGTTCATGCTTCGAAGATTCATGCTCTGGTAATGGTGAATGCCAATAGTGATTGGGTACATCTTGCAGATTTAAACTTCTTTTCCAAATTTCTGCATTGATTTTTTCGCTATTCCGCTCTTCTGACAAGCCTGGTGACTGCACTGCCTCTATTTGCTGACCTAGACGTGCTGCATCGACAATGTCATATTGCTGAAATAGTTTCTGCAGTTCTTCAGCTTCTTTTTCATTCATAGGCCTCAGTGATTCTTTAATTACCTGCTGACGGTTTTGTTCTCTAGGATAACCGATATATTTTATTTCTGTTCCTTCATCTTTCTGCCACATTTCACTGGAGAGATCTGAGGGCTCAACAGTTTCGGCTAAATGTTCTTCCTGTGATTCATCACTGGATTCTCTTTCAAGTTCTCGGCTCTGTACAGTTTCCTCTTGTCTTGCAATGCAAATAGGTGACTGTTGCCGCCACTTATCTTTGGAATTTCTCTGAAACGGTTCTTCTTTCCTCCAAATTTCTCTTGGTTCTATGTCATTGCGGGATTCCCCTACATAATTTGAAGATCCTGCTTCTGCATTGTAAACATCTAATGTAGGTAGCTGAATGTTTTCTTGGTGACCGCTAAGTATCCTTTGATCGTCAGCTAAAACAACCCTTTTTTCTCTACTATTCAGCTCCTGGTTAGGACACTCAACAGGAAAGTGGCTTGATTCAATAGTTCTTGCATAATTTGTTTTGCCATTTCGTGTGTTATTAGAAATCAGCTGTGTATTTGCTTCTTCATGTGTAAATTCCTTTCCAGGCTTCAGCTGATTGTTTTTGGGGGCATTTTGGATAAAATTAGGGGCAGCTTGTGTCTCACCATTTTTTTCTGGTTCTACTCCACCGGTAAACGAATGAACTTGTCTAGTGCTCGACGTAGAAAAGCTTTTTGCATCTCCAATTTTCCGTTCTATCGCCATTCCCTGAGAATTTGAAGACGCTGAACTTAAAAAATGCGGCTCTACTTCACTGTTCAACAATTGCTCTTTATTCAACCCTATTTCAGGACTAAGATTTTGTCTTTTTGAACTACCTAACTGTAATTTTGATGAAGTTTCTCCGGAATCTAGATTATATGTATTTGCCGTTTCAAGAAAGTCTTGGTCGAATATGTTGATTGTGAACTGAAATACATCGTCTTTGCCACTCCTGGGCTGCCCGTTCTTAAAATCTTCTTGCATCATTTTGTCAATAGTGGGCGAAGTTCGTTGTTCAGTATTCGCTACTCGTTTAAGCACGTTCCTATCGTATGCAGATGTTTTATCTCCAGTTTTTTCAACACGGTTTTCAGCGCTGGTAACCAGAAGTTGCCCTAATGGTTTGACATTTGGAGGACTAGTACGTTCACTACTCAAGTCGTCTTCTGTCAAAACTTCAATGAATTGATCTCCCAAATCAACACTAGGTTCCAGTTTTGTTTCTGGACCTCTCTCATTCCAGTCGCTTTTATGCCCAGAAACAGTAAACCCTTTTTCACTTTCAAAAAGCTGATGACCGTCCACCTCAAGATTTAAACTGAGGTTTTCACCGGGCACGAAATCGTCTGTGTACGGATGAGCCAATTCTTGCCTTAGTTCCTAAAAGTGCCGCCTTGAATGAAAAAAATCCGCTTACATATTCAGTAACGGTTTAGTTTTCCGACTGAAATTATTACCTCTTCAAGAATAGGCTCCCAGTTTTCAAGTTCTTTGAAGCCAGCATCCCTGAATGAGAAGGTTATTAAAAGCTAACAAATTTTATGAACCAATTTTAATAAAATAAATGCTTTATAAGAAAAACTTGTGAGTTGACTGGATAGTAAAGTGTGGTAATAATATTACAAAATTAAGTTGGAAAATAAACAGGAAGAACTATATTTTTGTACATACATATTGGGGTATGGCTCTTGAGTATAAATTTCTTCTGTACGATGTAGCGGCCTCGCCTAAAACAGCATCAAAAACTTTTTTTTTCTGATTTTATAATTATGGTGTAACTACTTACCTTCAGGGTACTTTGCTCTAGAGCAGCATTAGGACTTTTTTAAACCTGTTAGTTACCTGCGCATTCTCATAAAGTACTTCAGTAAATCCTTTCTCATAGTTGGCCAGCTCAGCTGCTTTCAGTTTCACAGTTACGTTTGATGGAGAACCCTGTGTTTTTATTAGAGTTCCCGCTCTTAGCTGAGCAGTATTCTCGGCAACTTCTTCATTTCCTGGGACCGTTTTGGGAAGTTCCATATGTAGTCTGTAAAGAAAAGAAAACAGGTAACCAGATTTACGTGTACCTCAACGCGACGGCTGTAAGTACTGTTTCAATGATCAGGAGTATAAGATACGTTTAAAAATTGCGATTAGTTCAGCGAAATAGCAAGATTTTTTTAATATTAATAATTAAGTTTTGAAAAGTCTAAAAACCACTTTAGATTAGCAAGCGCTTATGCTGCAAGTGAACATTTAATACTTTGGACAGTAGCCTCATATCAGAAGGGCTTAATAGGATAAAAACTAACCTATTTGGTACCTTTAAAACTGATGAACTTGAAAATAAATTACTCCAAGAGCTGAGAAAAGTACTGAAATTTGTTTTGAAGATCGTACTGTAATTATATTACTAACCCTTCTGCGAAAATTCTCTCCGCATTTGCTAGTTCACTGTGTGACGAATTATCTGGTGCAAGCTTGTGGCTGTCGATAAATTGTGATTCCGTGTCTAGTAGTTCTCCGGTAGTAACAATTTTTCTGTCTAGTTCTCGTAGTTTTGTCTCTTCAAGACGAGCAACTTCTCTACGCCATTCTTCCAAGGCTTCGACCTCTTGTCTGTATAAAGGAGGTTTCTGATTAAGAAATAAATTTTACCACCATTCTAAACTTGCAAGTGGTATCAACGGAATGATCAACACGAACTCACTAAAAACAATAGTGCACCAAATAGAAGAAACCAGAATAAGAAGCACTTAAACCTGCTGAGTTCAGTTTCTTCTTTAATCTCTTTTGTTCTATCAACTTTCATATCCTTTTCCCCGTCAACCACTGACGCGCCCTCTTTCTCGACCTTCGTCTCTTTTAGAGGCTAAAAATAACTCAGTTAAGTCCCGTTGTCAACTGATGGCTGAAGAAAGAATGTTATAGAAGTTTGTGCCTCAAAAGTAATATTTAAAGACACTGAGAATCCAAAAACGACGGAGTATTCAACCATGGGAAAAGTACACATTACCGCGCTGGTTTTAAGAAGTTCAGGCTCCTTTTCAGCTTTTGCCCATTGTTTGCGTGCCTCAATCAACCAGAAAATAAGAGCAGCAATTAATAAAGTGAACAGCGTCAAAAACAGTCGAGTATAGAGACCGAATATCATAAACCCCTCATCATTTTCGCATTCCTCCCACTCATCCGGATCGTACCCCAATTCTTTTGAGTAAGCCATACCTAAATCAGTCACTAAATTAGTCAAACAAATGAGTAAACTGAATATTTATCTTATAAGGCGTGCTGTTCAAGCATTAACCGGAACGTGTTATAAAAAGCTATAGTTGTAAATTTTTGCAAGAAAGCAAAATAGCATTTCTGAAGATACTTCTTAGTTTATGATGTTGACCCAAACAAAAAACTCTTGCCATTTTATTGGGCCATTTGTTCTCATATTTCTCATTTATTCGTACGAAGGTGTTAATTTTACCACTGTTTTCAAAAATTTTTGCTAGGACCTAACAAAAAGGTTTTGCCTGATTTCTGAAATCTTCTGTCGCAGGAATGTCAAATAAAAGTGGAAACAATAGAATTTCTGTTTTATGTATTTAAATAAATTAAAAATTTTTAAGTAATCGTTTCAGAATTTGAAGTCACCACTTTGATGCTGTCATTAGTGGCAGTAATTTTCTCTTTTCATCATTTGCAGACAGATATGACAAAAGCTGAGCGTTACTGTGTGCATCTTATGTTTTACATACTTCTTATTATAATTGGCTATAAAATTACCAACAACAAATGTGACAAACAAAAAAGAAGTTTGTTGAACTCATCGTAGTGCTTAGTTGACCTAACATATGATTTTCCAGTTATTTAGGTTCAATTATATAAGTTAAATAGTCAATATTTCGACTACTATAATTGTCTAATGACCAAAAAATATTAGTAATAGCTGAAAGGTTCATGCTTTGGTGAAAAGATAAAACTTTACAAGAGTGAACTTGATTTTCATACACCGAATCAAGTTAAAGAGCGACACCAACAACAACAGCAACAGCAGCGACAACGACAATAAAAATTGCTAAAACCACTTCTCAGCCATTAAAAATAGCAATTTGTACGTCTCTTTTCCTCAGTAACATGGTGTTTGTTGTATTATCAAATAACTAATAGCATTTTTTGGAAGTCAAAATTTTTGTCAAATTTTTAATTGATCAAAATTTTTTGAAAAAAATTTTAGGAGAAAAAAAGAAGAAAATAATGGCATGAATTTCTTATCGGCAAATCTAAATCATTACTCAACGGAAAACGACAGGTGCCAATTCCTTTTAAGTGTAGTCAATCATTACACCTTTTATTTTAAGGGTTAGTCGTTATAATAAGTAAGTTGTTTTATGTGAACAAGTTATTTAAACTACCATTAATAGTACTAATGAAGTTGGCTAACTCAAAAGACATGAATATGACACACATTTATAACTCGTAGAGATTAGTTTAAGCTATAGTAACCGAAGTGAATGGCAGTCAAGTTGTGGTCTAGATTTCCGCTGTTTTTTTTTTTCTACACTCTTAATGCTCAAGCCTAATGGCGCTTCGTCATGTTCACTGAGTTGGACTGTTATTTTCCCTTAAGACTATTCTGTCCAATTTTACTAGCAGCCAAAAAGAAGTATAGTGCAGCAGTAAGAACTAGCTGAAGACACTGTAGATAATGTCGTCTAAAGCGGCAACGATTCAGTAAAAACTAACTGATATATGTGAAATCATTGTATTTTCAAAACTCTTCAATTTATTAAGCCAATTTTTTGCAGACTTTGTACTTTCCATCCAACAACAACTATTTGAACTAAGTTTACAATAAATTTTTAGAAGTCTTTCTAAACTACTTTATCTTTCAAAATTTTCTGTAAAAATATTCACCTATTTGTTTGCTGTTTAAAATACCTAAATTGTCTTCATTGGTCATCTGATTTAAAGCTGTTTTAATTTTGGTATGCAGAAAATTAGAGACTTGAACAACAGTTAAAAAGAGGATACCGGTTTTTTTAATTTTACGACTAAGCTTCCAATATGTATAATCAAGAATGATAAAAAAAACTTAAAAACGCAATTGAAATGAATTCAATTAGTAATCCTTTTTATTACTTATTTTGCTTTTTCCTTTCTTTCTTCTTTCACATTTATGTCTTCTTTTCTATTTTCTCACCACACCAGAAAAAGGTTTAAAATTTAGAAGACATTTTTTTTTTACGTGTATTATTCATTGATTTTTAACATTAAAAAAATGCTGTTTTAACTGCTTATCGTATATCGACAATTCTTTGCCAATTTACTGCTTCTTAAAGCTAAGTTATCACAGCGTACGCGATTCTGAGCTGGCTTAAATTTAAAAGTCTTTTTGCTTTTTATTTTTCTCTTTTGAACTGTCAGCTCTATTTATCTTTGCTTCTAAAATGAAGGTTAAAAAAGTATTCTTCTGGTTAATATTTTTTAAGACTTCTTATCATTTATAAAATAACGTTATAAATAAGTGAAAAAGGTAGTTAGCTAAAACGCTTTTGATTTTAGAAAGTGCAGTCTCAAAAGTTGAATCGGATTTGCCAGTAAGACAATCTTTTGTTTACTGTCACTTCTTTCTAAATACAGTAAAATGTAAAGTCAAAAAAATTTACAAACTGGCAATCTAAAAGAAGGCAAAAAAGAAAGATTGATATTTTTTTGCACTAATAAAAAGTTTTGAATATTTTTTCAAAACAATATTACCTATAAATAAAACTTTTTGCAATTGTTTTTTTTATTACAGTAGCGGCAGCAACTAAAATGAAAGTGCAAAAAAAAAAAAGCAAAAAATGCTCATTTTTTTTTAAACATATGGCAAAGTAAACAAAAACCGTTTTTTAGTCTAACATAAAAAATGAGCAAATAGTTTATTAACGATATTAAAATTTTACTAGTATTATTGTTGCCGTCATAAATGAACAACTGAAAGCATTTTAGTAGTGACCTCCACAGAAAACCATACTATTTTAATAGATTCCATAGTAACACAAACCTAATTGACAACATTAAAAATACTGGTGATATCATCATCAGTACGTCATAAGTATTCGTCGCAAAGTACTTGTAAAACGCGGCGCTTTTTCTTTGACAAAAAAAAAAAATTAGTAGCAACAGGCGAAAAAAAGAAACAGTTTAATTTTGAAAAATTTGGCTTAATTTCTGAAACAGTTGATAAAACTCTAATGCTTAGGCATTTTTGCGGCAAAAAGTCAGGATAAAAACAACTGCTCAAGCTTACAGGCGTGCTGATTATACTAAAAAGTTAAATGTTTGTGCACGTGTACAATAACTTTTTATTTACAAGCCACAAACGATAACCATCTTTTCATTGGTAGTAACAAATCAGTAATTTAATGACAGTTACTGTACAAAAGAAAAGTTATAATCTGATTATTTTATTTGCTTGCCATCAAATCAAATAAAAAGAAAAGACATGAGGTAGAAACACAGAGGCCTCATTTTAAGTGATATAATATTTAACTACTTATTGAGCATATTTTCGAAAAATCTACTTCAGGTTTTTAGCTGCAAAAATATCTAAATGTATTTGTTATAATTAAGTGGCTGAACTTTTGAGTGCCTGGTGTTTTTAAAAGATATTATAGATAGGTGAGAAAGATAAAAAATGCATTGACAGCAGTGACGATAAGTGCAGTGCTCTTTTGACTTTATCTAAGCGAGGAGAAGAGTAGAAAAGAAAACGTAATTGGTTGGCTGGTACATGAGTGTTCAATAAAAGTACTCGGTATGTAATAAGACCAAAGCCTCAGAGTCTTTGGCAAGTCTCTTCGACGAAAACTGATTTTACAAATAAAACAGCATGTAAAAAATCAAAGAGAAGACTGAAAAACTTAACGCATAAATATTTTCCAAATGCTTTTTGAAGTTTGATAAAAAAGTGAAAAGCATGAGCACCTAGATACAGATAGAACAAGATTTAAAAGTTCGATACAAAATGAAGAGTTTTTCTAATATTACAACAAAGTGGGTTGTTGTTTTGAAAAATTTCTTAGGTTTGAAAAGTAACTGTAAGAAGTACGTTGGACAGAAGAGACAGGAGAAGGGGGAAGACGGAGAAGCAAAATGGCTTGAGGCTTTGCATCTGAGATCGGCGTTTTCTGAAAGGAATAAGTGAATAAATTTTAAATGTAACAAATTCTTTATAACTTATTCAAATCAACTTTGTTTGAGGTTTAAGCACTCTCTACCCCCTTTTTTACAGCTCCTTCATCGTTTTTCATTGCGATATCAGTGAAAAATGTCCCACCAAAATTTTCATGAGAAAAAAACTGTGTAATAGAACTGTCTCAAGTTTTTGTAAAAAACAATAAAAAAGGGTGAAGAAAAATTGTGTTCAAAGTTTTGTTTAATTTAGATATCACTCTGAAGCGGTTCCACTGAACCGCTAACTTTCTCTACTTTCGTTCAATGATTCCGAATGAATAATGAAACAAAACAGGTACTGCACTTAGTCTCTGAAAAAACCAAAACATTTTCATTAAATAATTACCATTAAAAAATTACTAGTATTCTTGTGGCAAGAAGAAATAAAATCAAAGTTTTGAAGGAGGGGAAAAGATGTGCTGAGTTTTTTTACTTAAAAAGAAATAATATAATCAAAGATACTCAGAACTTATCAAAATGCGCTTTATCCTCTAAATTACAATAACAGCAGACAAATAAAATGCAGACGTTTACTTACAGCAAGATGATTTTTTTTATTTTCTAATAAAAACTGAGAGAAAGCTTTGAGAATGAATTAATGCTTTGCAAATTCCTTAATTTTTGTTAAGTTTTTGCTTTAGCAATTTAAGCGAAAAGTTTTTTCAAGAGGTACGAAATAACAAAAACATAGGAAACTAAATAATCCAAGTGAAGACAAAGAAACAGTACACTTGCATTTTTGCTGTCAAAAACTTTCTTTGTCAAATTAAGTAAAACTCGGCAACAGCGTTTCACCCTTACCAGAGCTTTTAAGCCCAAGAACAGTCGTTTTTTCTTCATTTTTCGCCACTAACATATTAAAGCCAAAAA